GTATCAACAGATATTCTCCCTACACTGGAGAACTGCCCAAGAGGAATCTCCAGACAGTTTAAGGCCAATTTGCACTGCATAAGAGAATCTGGCCCTAAATCTTTTGAAGTTGATTCTGGTTACAGGCACCAAGGCAGCTTTTTAATCCATTCTTTACTTGGGTGATCAGAGACCCAGACAATGAGAAAATAAAGTTCCATCCTCACTTAAGGATTCACACTGACATTTGTGTGGATATTTGCAGTTGAAGAGAATCTGATTGTGTATATCTAACTGGTTAGTGCTGTTTCTGGCTTATCTGAAACACATTTCCTTTCCTTGTCACAACTCCCAGGTGCTACTGCTGAGCAAATAGTAACATCACTGCCAGAAGTATTTGAAAAGAACAAAAACCATGATTTGGACTCTCTATTCTGTTGTCATTGATGGAGACACAACTCTGACTCGGGTTAGGGCTGGGGTCATAACAAGGTTAAAAGAAAAGCACCCAGGAATTCTCTCTTGTCACATTTCACACTGAATTGCTCTTGTTTTTTGCGGATGCTGCAGACAATGCACCATACTTTGTCAAGTATCAAGAGACATTTAGCTGCATTTACAAGCTACACTGAGCATAGGCGCCGACTCCGTGGGTGATCCGGGGCTGGATCACCCATTGGAAAAAAATAGCGGGTGCTCAGCACCCACCAGTGGGCCCTGCCGATTAGCTCCTCCCTCTCCCCCCCTAGGCCGCCCAGCACTGAACCTTACTTCTGCCTACCCTCACCCTCCCACTTATACCATAGCCATCTTGAATATCTGACTGAGCAGCATGAAAGTACTTGCAGAATCAGGGCCAAAACGTGCTTAAAACAGACTCTGGAAATCCAGCACAATTTGGCAGATTTAAGAGATAGTTGCCTTTCACAGGGGCTGTGGAGGAGGCCTTGGTAAATTTGAACAGTGTGATTAGCATGCCGGCTGTCACAAAAACTGCTAAAGGAGAAGCTGTGTTAAAATCCATTTCCGCAAGATACACACATTTTCTTTTGGATGTATTCCACGAGCTCTGTTTCTTAAATCAGTTTTTCTGGCAGACAGATTCCATTCTGGAAAAATGCATGACACCAGCTCAGTTTCCTGCTTGAAAACTCAACAGAATGCACAGCAGGACATAATGGTGTATGTCCTCCATGGTTTCCTAAAAGTCACACCACAAGAATCTGAGAAGTGAATTTGAACATTTGGGGATACAACTGTCGAAAGACAAGTGCAACACAGAAGATGGCAGGTTAGTCTGAATAGTCCAGTGCTCAAACACTGGTGAGGGCCACTGATAAAAGGCTTGCCAAAGTAGGAGTTGCCAAGGTCTTTGAGGGGTCTCAGTGATGTCTTCATGTCTTACTAGATTTAAAAGATGAACCTTGGCAAACTCCCCCTGATGTTTCTTAGCATATCTAGAGCCAGCAGTTGTTCCATCTGCTGCTGAGGCCGACTTTGAAGAATCCTTGCAAAGAGCAGTACAGTAACTGTAAATTTCTAGTCAAAGGAAAAAAAAACACGTCTTTTCAAAAGTGACCCAGATGTTTGCCACCACCTTGAAACACTCTCATATGGTGGGGCTGCCTCCTTGTCTATGAATACTTGAACATATTTCCAAAACTGTGCCAGTGTAAACTGTGGGCTGCAAATGGAGATTCAGCAAACAAAATCTCCTAAAAGCTTGTCCGAGGCACTAACTATTCATGTATGGAGACTTTACATACTGCATCTTAATGAGGCTTTTCCCCCAGAAAGACCACCATGATTCAACTTTATGAACCATGTTTCCTTTGGAAAAATTGGGTTGTGAATCTCAGATAGGTCTTCATTGGTAATAGCTGAAATAATGAGGTAACAGAAAGCGAATAGTGTTGTAAATGTTGGTGCAAACAAGGTTTGTAAAACCAAAGGAAGACCCATGCAGATACAAACTAAGGTGTATCACCATGTATAGTATACACAGTTTAAACATGTAGGATTCAGTTTCTGGTGCTATCACACATTCATCACTGTCTTCCTAGCTAAGCCTTTACCCAGCTTTAAAAGGTTCATTCTAATTAGTGTAGGCACTATAAAGATTTCTTTATCACTTAGTATTTTATATATATATATATATATATATATATATAAATAATTGTGTTCCTATGCTGAGTTCAAAGCTCAGTATAGCACTTGCACAACACCACAGGCAGGTCAGGTGACCTTTCTCCAATTCTCCTCTCCCTGGTGCTGAGGACAGACAAAGTGATATGTCTGTCATACGCCATTACCATTAGAACAGAATCTTGTTCTTTTATTACAACTGAACTCCGCCGGATTTCTCAGCAGGAATGCTAAGTGAAATCAATGTCTTGGGTTTCCAGGCTGAGCTTGGAGGTCACAGCCACTCTATCATTTCTCAGCATTATCCTTTCTCTCTCTCTCTGAGCCTCCAACTGGCACACAGCAGATTGAAAACAGCATGCATCAGAAGGCTCATGCTGCACAATTTTACAGCCTTTTGGAGCCCCCCCCCCCCCCCCCCTCCCCTGGGCCCCCCCCTTTTTTTTTTTTTTTTTTCCAATTTGCAAATAAGTTCTGTTTGTGTGCTTCCACAGAGTTGTGAGCCAAAGGCACTGGAACACCTATGAATAAGGAAAAGCAACAAAAGACAAGGAAGAACAAAGCTGATTTTGACAGCTGCCTGGAGGATGGTTTTGCCGACATTACCAGTCTGGTAGGCCTTATAATTCCATGAGCGCCACAACGTAAATACTGTCCCCCATCAGATCTCATCAGACATTCTGTTTGTGCCAGGTAGATCCCAAAACAACATCAGGATCTTAAGTGCAGTGGAATCTCTTTAACAAGCTGTTGGACGCATCATACAGAAAACCCTTGTAAAATGCACAAAAATCTCTTGTTAATCATACAAACAACTGTTTTTGAAAAAAAGCACATTGCCGGGGGGCCAAATGGCTTTATGATTGACAACTTTCCACTACATAAAAGAGATGTCCTTACGAAGGGAAAAACTTTGGGAAGTCAAAAAGTCTGCATCGAGAAGAGGAGAAAGTAAATGTATACCTCCAGGTTGATTCTGGGTCCTAAGCATTCCTTTCATTTTTTGACCATGTATCTCATTGAGCTGACAATGGCATTATTTATTTGGCAGGTTATTTTTAATCCGTACAGCTTTACTGTTAGGCTAAAAACTAAGATGCTACTGTCAATTCAAGGAATCTTTTCTGACATGATAAAGGAAGTGGACAGCATGCTAGAGGACACCGAAGGAAAGAAAGGACACATTTCATCAAGTTTTTCCTGTCACTTAAATGGGGATGCTTTTTACTCCTTTTCCTTGGCTAAATCCTTGCTAATTGTTTTACAATAACTAAGGTAGGCAGTGCCACTCCAAAATGTGACCAGTTTCCTTAGGCCACCTGAGAAATAAATTGACCACATCTTATTCTGGGCAGTGGATTTAATGAGTTGATCCTTGGTAAGATTATCTATATCAAAGATTAGATAATTTAGAGATACAAAGATTAGATAATTTAGAAATACAAGAGTGGAATTTTCAAAATCCTTTAAGGGATTTAGGAGCATGAATCCAATTTAAAAGCCAATGGGACTTGTGCTCCTAAGTCACCTAGGCCCTTTTGAAAATCCCAGCTACTATATTTTATTATATATCTATTATTTATACCTATCTCTATCCATATGTAGATATAGACACAAATGGTGGCCCTTATTCTGCAACCTCTGAGTTGTACTTATGCAAGTAGTCTCATTCAACATCACTGGAGTAGTTCCATTGAACACAGAACTTAATCTTGATTCATTAACACGATTGGTTCAGGTTTCTTACCATTCAGCTTAGGGTGGATAGGGATTGCTGAAACAGGCTCTACAATACATTAATGCTAACCCAAGAGAAAAGTAATCAAAAGATAAGGAAGCCATTTTCTTCATGGTCTTATGGTCCACTGTATTGTATGCATATCTGATTTAAATTGTTCAAAGTCACAGATGTTGATTTAGCAACAGAAAAAAAGATTTCTCTAATTTATTTAGTATGTTCATTTAACCTAGCTCACCTTGTCCAGGCAAAGAATATGGAGGGACAGAGTGATATAGGAGCTTGACAGTAAGGACAAGTATACTCAATTTACTCTGAGAAAATCTGATTTTGACTCTCAGCAACCAAATCCCCAACAAACAACTGCTGAGAAACAAAAGAATCTCAAATTAACATCACTTGGCCAATAGTCAAATGAAGTTTCAACATGTTATGTGGATGCGATGCATTCTGTGCCTTTGTCTTAGCTGTAGCCAACTTGCCAAACAACGGTGATGTTTTGAAGATTTGACTACAATTGCTAAACTGACCTTCGAAGAGAGCATAAATCTCATTCCCCAACCACCTCCAAATTACTCTGGGTAGACCCCTTCGTTATATAAATAAGATTAAAATATGTTCTGTGATACAACGGCCACCAATTGAGAGTCAGTCCTGCCATTGGATATGTACATAGGGTCCCCACTGATTTCAGTGCATGAACCCCAGGGCAGAATTTGGCTCTGGATGAGATGTCATGCTGCTATCATCTTTTGTTGCAGTACCACTTATATGGCTATGGATTAAAGGTTAGGGGGAAATAGTAGTTGTGTGCTAGAATGGGAGGCACGCAGCCTTAGTCTTTTGCACATTACCAAAGGATGGAAGAAATAATAACCTTGTGGCTCAGGCATTAGATGGAACTCAGGAGAGCTGCATTCCGTTCCCAGCTCTGTTACTGGCTTCCTCTGTGACCTTGGGCAAGTCACTTACTGTCACCATGCCTGAATTCTCCATCAGGTAAATGGGGATAAGAGTACTTCCCCTAGTTCATGATGAATCTGTAACCACCTGGGAGGTGCTCAGATATCATATTGACAGGGACCATGTAAATACTGAGAGAGCAACAAAAACCTGCTCCTTTAAAATGGCACCGTACCTTGCTTTTGGGTGGAGGACTGTTTGTGCTCTTGTCTGTGTGGATACTGGTAGGGGATACAGCCGCACCAAGGTTTCCTTGGGGGATGCCAGGTATCTTGCCTCCTGGAGACACTTGCATTGCAGCAAGCTGGGCAGCATACAACTGCTGTAAAGAAAAGACGGGAGAGAGAGAGAGAAAATGAAACATTGCCAACAAATTAAAACATCTTTCAAAAATTTCTCCTACTACAGATGCTGTAGTTTTTTCAGCCTTTTTTTTTTTTTAAGCTAGCTGTCACCTCAACTTTTGTGAGTCATTCCTCAGGGGAGGAATGACAGACGTCACATGTGATATGGCCTAGCTTCAGCGTGCGTCCAGAGATTCAAAACAAATAGCAATAGCCCAACTTCATGCCTTGCCTGAGCCAGTTGATCAATTGTTTTGCTTCCTGAAAGGACCTGACCATAAGAGCATCCCATCCCATCAATATTATATTAACACCCAGCCTGTGACATTTACCGTCATCATATTGTTCACTCTGCTAGTATGTTACATGCCTCTCCCTTACTGTGTGTGTGGCTTGCCAATTTTGACTGTAAGCTCTTTGGGGTAGGGACTCTTTGCTGCTTTGTGTTTACATAGCACCTAACACAATGAGGCACTGTTCTCAGGTGGTACTACTGTAATAAACTTTAATAAGAATAAATTATTATTTTGCATTATATTACAGTAGCAACTAGAGGCTCCAATCAAGATTGAGACCTCTTTGTGTTAGGTGCAGCAGAAACATATGGTAAGAATTAAAAAAAAAAGTTCTAAATATTAAAGGCCCTGAGCCATCAAGGGACTTAATGACATTTTAATTTTAAGCACTGAATAGTGACATCAAGATCATGTGTTTAAAGTTAAGCACCGGCTTAACTGCCTTGCTGTATTGGGGCCAAGAACTGAGAAGAAATAGGTAATCTGGCTGTGCATGCAACTCACAAAGAAGAGGAGAAAACAAACACCATGAGCAAGAAAAGCAGTGTGTGATACGACACAGATTGATTTATGTATAGAGGAGAACAAAAATGAATCTGGATAGAAGTCTTGATCGCTCAGGGAACTGTTTACAGGATAACAGAGTCGGTTTCAATATCAGGCCAGACCAAATCCACGGTGACCCGGTTTCGGGAGGACGTTCCAAGCAGGGCTCGGCAAAACAATGTTTAACAGCCCTCAATGGTGCAAAGATACTGTCTCTGGGTATGTGCACAAATATCACACAGAATATATATGCTCTGTAAAGAATATATGATGGTGTGGTCAAATGTGCAGGTTTCTTTGCCATGAGTTTAGGATGACTTATATGGCTCATGCATAGTGAAGATATGAGTGATCTATGCAAGTCATCCCAAACCTTGATATCTCACCACTATCATGCTTTTTCTGTATAGCTTTTCCGCCTGTACTTGTGTCCAGGCCTGTTCCTTTTATTTTTAAAAAAATCTAAGCTGCTTCTGCTCTTTTAAATTTAATTAATTCTGCCCCAAGTCCTTCCTTATTTCCTCTTCTCTCCTTTTCTTCTTTGGTTTAATATTCTTCTCACTTTTGTTTCTTTTAATTTTCTTTTTTATTTCTTCATTTTTACCTCCGCTTATTCCTCAGCTCTTTCTTCCTTGACATTCATCCCTCCCCTTCTTCCTCCACACTCTCTCCTTCCCTTTCATCCATTCTTTAATTCTCTCCCTCCTCTTCCTCACGTGCCCACTTATTCATTCATTTGACCTATCATCCTCACCCAATCCCAGTCAACCTCCGACACAGCCACACAGCCACAAACCACGGTGATGGATGCAAAATAAATGCCTAAACAGACAGATGGCCACGCTCACTCACCCTTTAATGGGTCCTTAAGAAAAGGAGCCACTCTTGCAGCCATGCAAGGAGAAAGGAATGGGGGCTTTGACGCAACAAACAGGAGCTGCTTGCAGGAGTGCAAAGAGAACCAGGCTTCTTTCACCAAAGTAGAACTGGGTGGGGAGGGTGGTAGTACTTCAATAGACCAAAGGGGACACTGCTGTGCAACAGTGCAATAGAGTAGCACCCTGGATCAAGGGAGCGGTCCAAACAGACATATACGTCGGTGGAAGCAGACCAATGCCAGTTCAGACAGGGACCAGACGACTAAGTAAATGCCAGTCTGAGTCAGGCAGTAAAAGTAGTTTGACAAAAAGGTATGGAGCTGTTTGTGGGAGGAGAGAAGGCAGCAAAATGGCCAGTTGAACTGGAAGACAGTAGGCCCCACAAATATTAGAGTGATGGGTAAGATATGAAAACATAGATTACACACCAGAGAGAAGGTCAAGACAAGGGTTAACTGTATAGGACCTTCAAGGTAATGATGAGGGTGTTTTAATTTGATCTGGAAGGGGGCATTTAGTAGGCACTACTGATGCTCCATGATACGGGAGGATTATAAAGTTCTACTAATCAACTGACAGAGTTGTGACAGAGAAACAATATTCTCCTTCAGAGGCCCCTGGAAATGCTCATGTTCTATTATTCTTTAAGAGTGAACAATCAAATAGGACATTCACCCTGAAAGGAAAGGGGAGCAGCTAACTCAAGTAGGTCCATGACATTAGGCAGAGTTTCCAACTTCTCCACCTCCTATCCCTACTCCAAGTACCAGATCATGCTTGCCCATCTGTATGGGGTGTGTGTATGTCATAGTGACTGAGAGTTTGTACCACTTTAGAGCTGTGAGTGGTCTATGCGCAATGGCTTGGAAGCAGTCAATCCTAGGTGAGAGCTGCTTGCAGTATTAACATCCAGCTTTCCTGACAGCCTAAAAAGAAAGGTCCAGGATTAAATGGGCATCAGAGGCTGAACTGCCCTAATCACCCCTATGCACAGGGCAGGAGAAGGCCATATTTTGAGAGGGCAAGTGGAACTTAAGTGTTGCATAGGCCTTGTACTGGTCCTCTGTTCAGGGATAAATTTGGTCCTCAGAGAGGTGGTATCTTGAAAAGTGTTGACAGATACTGGTGGAGCATGGAACAGTATGGGAGACAGGGTGGAGGGAAACTTGCAATGCCACCACCCATGCTGAATCTATTCTGTGGATAAATAGATAACTTCAGTCTGCTGGGCTGTCAAGCTGACATTTTTCACCTCTATTCAATCCTTTTCATAATGTAAGAATACAAATTTTAAAAAGTAAATGAATCTATATGAAAGGTTCCAACCTTATTCCAGCAGAAACCAGGTCTTCTCCCACAAACTACCAATGTATGGGGTATTTTTAATGACAGATTGTCATTGCAGGGTTGCAAGGGCAGAATGTGGCCTCAAGTGCATGGTCAGGCACCAAAACCAAAGGGCAGTTGGGTAAGAGCAGTCACTGCAAATAACTATACCAGCTCGTGCTGCTATAGACTCTTGAGCCATTTAAAAAATGGTGGAGCAGACTTTTTGAGTAAATAAAAAGTTAGTCAAGCTAAATGGTTCCAAACTGTGCAGTGATGATGGGTTGGATTCTTAATTAACCAGTGAGATTGTTCCCATAGCCCTGCCCATATTGAAAAATGGAATGAAACATGCAATATGCAGGAGTTTGAGCTTTGACATTATTGAATGTGTCTATTCAAATTTAATCATTTCTGGGGGTGATGGCTTATGACAAGCAAAAGGACATGATATGGACACATCCCATGAATCGAGATGGCTAATGAAAAACAAGTATGAGAGTTTATGGCTATGGTAAATAAAGCAGTTAAACTCAAACAAAGGCACAGTTCTACCCTGAGGTCCACAACAGAGAACCTCAAAAACTGGAATAAAATATATGCATTGGAAAGGCTGCCAGCAGTCTTTACGCTGAATTGTCGAGTCGACACAGTCTGTATCCTGCCGTGTGCGTATTCTATGCATCCTCAGATCTTTCACAGTGATGAAGGTAGCACCTCAACAATGAAATGGGTGTAATTTACACTACATAATTGCTGGAATAAACCATTCTTGAGCATCCTTAAATGTATGCCCAATAGGGAATGTCCCCAAGATTGGAGATTTGTACATGACGTCCAGCTATTTACAGACACAAATGCAATCTCCGGCACTCAGAGGATGTCATGAGCTGTGTAAGAACCTCTGGAGGACTCTGCGTCCATAGGCCATTGAGTGGTTTACCTTCGCCAACATAAGCTGGCAAAGCTCCAATAATTACAATGGAGTTATGTCAATTTATGCAATGGTTTATTTTTGCTATTTATGACAAAAAAGGGATAATATTCCCCATGTAATAGAACAGACAATATTGTTACGAACTTTTTTCTTCTTCAAAAAGGGAAGAATTGGGTCTTTAGAAAGCAATTAAATCTTAACTTCTATTATTTATTTATAACCAAATAATCACCTTTCAGATGCCCTGCCCATATGCAGTATTGTGTACCTGTTTCCTGTCTTCTCATTAACCTATTATGAAAATCTGTGTACATGCAGAATCATCAGAACAAAAGAACAATTGGTTACACTTGAAAATGAAAACCAGTTATTTTTATATTATTGAACCTGTCTCTGTTCTTAAGTCATTAAGCAGCCCCCTGCCTTCCCTGCAGGTCATCACCTAAAACATTTATAATTCATCCTATATATTAACCAGGAATATTCTGCTGAACTCTCCACTGCTAGTGGCGCTTGGCTTGATGACTGTGTAGTACATCAATAGCACAGCTTTAAGGTTAGGCTGGCTTTGAAAACTTCCCCCTTGGGCATTGTTATTATATGTTAACAATGCTCATTACTGCTTTGAGGATAAACTAAAAATGAGATCTTGTTCTATTAATAAGGAAAACGAGAATGGGATTTAACAGCAATTTAAAAAAGATTTGAAAAAATATATCTTAGAAATTATACGTGTTTTTATAATACCACGCTAGTATTAAAATAATTGTTGTGAGGTGTTGAGATTAATATCTTTTCTCAAAAAAAAGGAAGAATAAAAGCTAGCGGCAATGGATTCTGAATACTGGGCTAAATTTGTCCCTAGTGTGACCTGTGATTTCAATGGAGTTATCACAGGGATGAATTTGGCCCCTGTATATAAATGTTTGGAATTGTGGATTGATCCAATACTTCAAAATCTGTGTCATTCTGAGTCCCATCATTAAAAATATACA